TATACAAACTTCTCGATAGTAGTAGTATTCCACTACGCTATACAAACTTCTCGATAGTAGTATGCCACTACGCTATACAAACTTCTCGATAGTAGTATGCCACTACGCTATACAAACTTCTCGATAGTAGTAGTATTCCACTACGCTATACAAACTTCTCGATAGTAGTATGCCACTACGCTATACAAACTTCTCGATAGTAGTATGCCACTACTAGGGTTGGGCGATATTAAAAAAATCATTTCACGATTATTGTCAAAGAAATTATCACGATACTCGATAATATCGCGATAAATGCAGTAAAAACAATGACCACATTTTTCAATTTCAATTAATATCAAAGCACAGTATAGGCTTATAATATCTTATTAAAAACAAGTAAAACGATAAATTAACCATTAAGCTGCAGAGCTTCCCCATTGACGAGTAAATTCGTCTGGCGTTATAGACAAGTAAAAAAATAAGTAGGGCGCACTGGGGCTCAATAGAGACATTGTCAGGTTTTTGGTTAACTCATTAAGCTGCAGAGCTTCCCCATTGACAAGTAAAATCGTCTGGCGTTAGACAAGTAAAAAAAAATAAGTAGGGCGCACTGGGGCGTATTGCGGCTCAATATGAAGGCTTTTTCTAGTCTAATATTTACTGGTCATAAACCAGAACTGTCTATGCAATGTCTACTGTGTTTCCACTGGCACAAATGCCGTGGGCACACAACGCAATAAAAGCCTGTAATTTCATTGTTCAGCGGATTGATGCATAAATATTAGCTTTTGCATCGTATTAATTTCGTAGTTAATTCAGGAAATTGTTTTAATTCTTTTAAAAACTATATTTTCTAGGAATTGAAATATTTCTTTAGGATTTTATAAAAGCTATATACACATGCGAAGCAGTATCACGATAGTCATCGTTGCTCCAGTTTCTACCTTCGATACGATAATTGCGATTGAAAATATCGCGATAAATCAACATATCGAAATATCGCCCAACCCTAGCCACTACGCTATACAAACTTCTCGATAGTAGTAGTAGTAGTATGCCACTACGCTATACAAACTTCTCGATAGTAGTAGTATGCCACTACGCTATACAAACTTCTCGATAGTAGTGGTATGCCACTACGCTATACAAACTTCTCGACAAAGTGCCTTCGCTCGAAACCTCGCAGTTTTACATATTTTATTATAAAGAACTACTGCTATTAGGAATCTCAAACAAGCAGGACGAAAGTGCAGCGAAAACGGCTATGAATACTTAGAAATTCATGATATTGTGGAAAAGAAATGAACAATCGTATAATCTCACGGAATTTTAGACGTCACCGTTACAATATAGATTATTATGTCTTTTTTCAACGGCTACATTTTAAGGTGCGACAACTGTTACTTCAAATTGGTCGTAGAGGTTGTTGAATTCTCAAACATAAACCGATCAACCTCGATCTTTAAACTGTATTATTTCATACGATAGATAATAGAAGACAGGTTTTCTTTACAAACATTTAGTTCAACAAATTTCGTTTGCTGTCGTGGTAGCGTTGCCGTCGTGTACATGCTTAATTTTAATGATTTCTGATTTAGTAACGTATAAGTTACATGGTACTAGCAGGGCGTCTATAAGAATGGGCGGTCAAACGCCAGTGAAGCAGCTGAAACATGTGTGATGCACTTTAGGTCTGGGGCCTAGCCTGCACAACAAGGAGTTCTCGAAGAAAACAAAAAAAAAAATTTTCAACAGGCTTCATTAAAACGATTGTAACTTGGCAGTTTTTGACGCGATGTCCGAGATACCTTTTTCTTGTGCCACACAGATCGTTAGCTAACGCTGTAGTGCCGAAAAAATGTTTCTGTAACGTTAATCACCGAAATATTTCAACTTCAAAACTATAAACTTGCGTGTCAACGGCCAAACGAGGAAACGGCCAAATGGTATTAAAATTTAGAGTTGTAATGTACATTATGTTAACATTTATTATGCAATATTTCATCATGTAGTTTTTTTACCCTTTTTTGTAATCGTTTATAGACTTTAACCTATTCAATTTTTTTTACAACACAATTTCTTTCGCAACTACGAGGTCTAAAAATACCTATGTAAAAACCTTGAAATCATATTTTTTGTTCACTTTATGTGCCTATCTGAAAGGCAAGATATATGTTTTCCTTGATGTGTATATATTTCGACATTATGCGAGTAATAAAAAATTGAGATGCTTGCTGTGGCCCAAGAAGCTGGAAAAATTGCACAATGACTGCCCTAACTAATATGATCCATTTGACCTGAGTACGGTAACACAATTTTTTTACCCTTTTCCACAATTTTCGCTCGAAGTCCACAACCCAAAAACTAAAACGGTCTTTACAGCATTTTAATGCCGAAATGCAAAATTCACTAATTCATACTTCGTGGTAAACTTGAAATTGTGCTTTAATATAGTACGCGGACATGACGAGAAATCCGCTACAAAACTGCCATGTAAATTGATGGCAATTTCCAATTCTTCCTCGCTCAAGCAGCCCGCCATCTTGAAACCGAAAATGCAATGAAACCGCTTTCGAACAACGTGGGGGGTCCGAGCATCACACATGTTTCAAAGACTTCACTGGGGCTTCACCGCCCATTCTTATAGACGCCCTGGTACTAGGCAAAATGACTCGGCGTACTCTCCTACCAGGCCATATATACCATGCAAGACGTACATACATGAAACTAAAATATTAATACTACGACATTTGACACAAATAAGTTTATAAGTTCGAACGTTATCCTGATCAAAAGCCAATTCTTAATCGTTCCAAGAAAAAGTTTTTAAGTTTCTGTTCAAAAGTTATAAGAGATATAGAAGATTTAATATCATCTGGTATAGCATTCCACATGCTTGCCTAAGATATTCTTGGTTAATTAATATTGCTAATGCAGGGTTCGTAGTCTCCAAGACCAAAAAATTCAACTTTCAAAGATTTTTTCTGCCTGTTTTCGAAGACTTTTCAAAGACCTTTGCGAGCAATCAGCTGTCGAAAAATTGCGAGTGTAAGCACCATTTTTTCCAGGTAATTAGTCCCGTCAAATCACATCCTAAAATGCGCCTTTTCGTCAATATTTGCGAAAATTTTGCTTCAATCAATCTATTTTATTAGCTAGGAAATCGTATAATCAAATACTCTTTAAAAGACTTTTCAAAGACCTCAAAGACCTGCATTCAAATTTAAAGACTTTCAAGGATTTCAAAGACCGCTACGAACCATGTAATGTATAATACAAAGGTGGCTTTCACATGTAAAAGTGTGACCAACTCCAAATGCATCGACGCTTATACGGGACCATGCAAATGACGCTAAATGTTTCCGTTGCTAAACGTTTCCAATGCTATAAACGTTTCCAAGAACGCTTTCAATTACATGCATTTCCCATCAGTTCGATACATATACATGTAGTGAACAGTTTAAGCATGGCTGCTGAGAGGTTAGAGAGCTACGAAGTTACGCCATCCCCATAGTCTATAAGGGGCTACTCCAAGAATTCGTGAGATACAGGTCAATTTCAAAACAAAGTGGAGATAGCTATATCATCACAGCCTATCACGATATGACGATCTGGAAACTAAAGTTTAAGAAAGAACTTTCCCTAGGCCCTACGTTAATACCGTATTTTGTGTTCAATATATAGACCTGCACAGTAAGACTTTTTTTAAATGTAATAAACACATTTAAAAAAAGTCTTACGCCCGTATTCTAAAAGCTCACTCACACTCGCACTCAATGAGTGGAGGTTCAATCTGAGCTTCTCTTGAGTGTAATAGCTGTTTTTGAATAGCTGGAGGGTGAGTAGTCACATAGTAAGGTATGACACTAACCCTCCAGCTATTCAAAAACAGCAACGACACTCGAGAGAAGCTCAAATTGAACCTCGACTCATTGAGTGCGAGTGAGCTTTTAGAATACGGGCGTTACTGCCGTCTATATATTGAACACAAAATAGAAGTCATTGTGTCGTGTTTCTGTCTGAGTTTATGTTAATTTGTGCACCGTCGCGGTGATTGAGCTCATTAATTGTATTTTCGTATAATGAAGTAATCGTCCAATAAGGATAGCTGAGATGAAACGTGGAACCACGATGAATAATATTTAAAGTTGAGACAAAAGATTTGTACGCGGCGAGATACAGTTAACATCAAAAAGAGGCCTTCTATTTTGTAGCTTTGAAGTTCGCCGGGATTCCAGTCCAGTCCATATCTTGACAGACTTAATCATCTAAACCTCTATTAAATAAATAGTTATCTACCCCCCAAAATAGACTAAATATAAGGCTAAAATAGCTATTTAGCCAAATTCAAAAGCTATTGCACCACAAGGATTTAATGATTTCAGGACTCATTTTCGCCCCCCAATTTGGGTTCCTTGGTGGTGCCAAGACCCTGCCTACCTTCACGCAAAAATTGGCTACTTCCACAAAAATAAAATCAACAGCCGCGTACAGTTTCGTCTTTCGTTTTTAGAATTCAGTCAGTTCACCAGCATGTGCTGCACTATTCCACTTAATGAAAGCCACCAGCACGGATAAAAAGACTCGATATTGCAAATACCGCGGTATATCCTCGTCATCATACTGGCATGTATATCGGTATTTTTGCCATGTCTATATTATTCAGACTGCAAATTGCAAATTAAAGCGCAAGTCCAGTCGCTGCGAAACTAAAAACCAAACCAACTTAAATTTATAAAAAATGTTCGAGGGAACTGCAGTACTCAGTGTTAATGAATAATGAATTTACCCTACACGCGAAATTCCTAATTTCCTACTGTGATCAAAGAAACTTTGATGTCTTTGATACTATACGAAGTATCTAGGCGCATAGTTTAAAAATTAGTGCATGTAAACTTTGGTTTATAAAATTTCCTAAATTATTTCCCCATGGCAAATTTTGACTAGACAATAGACATATAGCATTTCAACCTGGTTTGGGCAGCAAAATACCGACATCGCGATATAGCGATACTTTTGGAATTATTCGTATCTGATTCAATATAACAGCGTTTGATAAAATACCGGTATACCAGTATATCTAATATCGAGCGTCTCCACCACTGTACATATAGAAAAACAGTCGAATTTAAATTGGATGAGCGCAGATGAATTTTATTGTATAAAGCCCTGATTCCACGAGCGCTTTTTGTCAGCGAAATATTTCGCCTGTTTCTTTTGAATTGTGAGCAATCAAGTAGAAATAATTTATTCGAGTGGTCGCAATTCAAAAGAAACAGGCGAATTAATTCGCATTTCGCCGAGAAAAAGCGCTCGTGGAATCGGCCTTAACAGAACCTTAATCAGGATATGAATTTGTGCATGTGCACCGTTCGATATTTTGCAAACTAACAAACTTTGCAGCTTTTATATCCGTTCTCGTGCAATAAATGTATTCTGTTGGTGTATACAGTTAGGCAATAGACAATTGCCATTAATATTATACACTAATTTTAAAACTAGGCAAGGAGATGCTAATAAATCATCACAGCTAGAAAGAGCATATATATTAAAATGAGTAAATTTACAAAGTTTGGTTGCGAAATGTTGTAAAATGCGGAAAATATAGCCTTGCAAAGTTTGCAAATTTTGTATAGTTTTGTATTGCGTGCGGAAATTGCTACCATTTTCGGCCCGGAATGTGGTAGGAATTTCTACACGCAATACAAAAGTATAAAAAATTTGCGAACTTTGCAAGGCTATATTTTCCTCATTTTACAACATTTCGCAACCAAACTTTGTAATTTTACTAATTTTAGTATGCTCTTTCTAGCTGTGGTGATTTATTAGCATCTAGTCCTTGCCTAGTTTTAAAATTAGTCTATTGCCTATTGCCTATTAGTCTATTGTCTATTGCCGCCGGCAGTTTCCACGTGGGAAACGTCAGCGACCGCAAAATTCTGTTTCTCGCCCTTTACGACTTTAGGTTATATGATATTGTCCAGCTTCAGTGAGCTTTATAAAAACATTTCCATCGTGAATAAAAAAAACATCACGTAAACGACGAACTGGCAAATCTCCCAAGCGTAGTTGACAGGTTTCAGCGAGTTTATCTACCCTTTGAGGGTCATGCAACGGCGTAAAATGTCGCGTTTATACGCTATTTAATACGGTACAGTAAGTAAAAACATTTGTTTGTTGCAGTCGGGTGTTTACCCTATTTGCGATTGGTTTTCCGCAGACGGTATATAGTCACTCACTGCGTGAAAATCATATATGTTTGATTAGTTGATATAAGAGCGCTCATATAACATCGTTATTTCTTTATCCGAAGCGGTTACCTGACATTAATATATATGTAGTATTTTTTTTGTGATTGTTTGACCCTCGCAGGGCTTAAAAAATAAATTGGGAATGCTGTACGAGGTCGTACGCTCTTGTATACTAAGTTCACGTACGTTTAATCGATGTCGACGTACGATTTTGTATACTAGCTTTTGTGTAAAATTCCCGTATAAAAATGCGTTTGAAATGCTGGACTTGAACGACATAAACAAAGATGGTTGTCTGGGATTCGAGCTGTGAACTCGATGTTTCTAGATCAATGTTTCATGTTTGATTGTTATAAATATATGGATATTTCAAGATCAGGGTTAGAGGCGAATGTTTGTTCATTGTCTGAAGGATTTTAAGGCAAACAGAAAGGGGTAACGGTTCAGTTCTGATGTAGGAACTGTACGCGTCGTACTTGTCTGAAATTCTTGGCGTGCGCCAAGCGTTTCACCCTCGATATTTTACCTTCGTCCTTCACAAATGACCCTCGAGCCTAAAGCAATAGATAAACTCGGTTTCAGACTGCCATTTGCAAGCTACCTATACGGGCTGGCGAATTCTCACACGTTTGTTTACATTTTAAACGAACACGTTATGTAATTGATCTTCTTACGGAAAGAGAAGTTCCACGCTTGATATTCTTTATAATTTGATCATATATAAGTTCGTTTTCATCCTCGGTTAATTCGTAACATTCCGCCAAAATTGCCGGCGTCAAAAGTGGAATTGCTGCGGGGTTCGGTGATAATTCAGTATACACCCTCTGGTATACACCCTTCTGTGTGTCACCTTGGCTATGCAGCCTCGTTCTTGTGTATGGGACATTAGTTAAACCCAAGCATGATGAAAACGAGGCTCTGTAGCCAAAGAGACGTATATACAGTATATTGTTATAAATTGAATGATGTTGAAACTCACTGTTCTGTGATCTTTGGTATTGCCAACAGCTTTGTAACGAAATCATTTAGACCTTCTCTTCTTGCACGTATGAATTCTGTCAAATGAAAAGTCTTATAGTAATGACTGCTCGCTGTTTGAAACTACAGTCATGTCCCCCTTGCCTATATAAACACGACCATTCTCTCTCTCATCCTTTCAAAATTACCATACTATCAAAACTACCATCCTATCAAAACTAACATGTTGCCAAAACTACCAACCTATTGAAATTAATCATCCTACCGGAACTATCATCCTACCATACTACCAAAACTACCATCTTATCAGAACTACCATGCTGCCAGTGCCAAAACTATCATCCATGATGGTAGTTACAACAGTATGGTAGTTTTGGCAGCATGGTAGTTCTGATAGGACGGTAGCAGGTAGTTTGATAGGATGGTACAATAGTTTTGGCAGCATAGTAGTTTTGACAGGACGATAGTTTTGACAGGTTGGTACTTTTAGTAGCATGGTAGTTCTGATAGGATGGTAGTTTTAATTAGAAAGCCTATCATACTATCAAAACTACCATCCTATCAAAACTACCATCCTACCAGAACTAACTACCATCTGCCAAAACTACCATCCTATCAAACTATCTTCCTATCAGAACTACCATGCTGCCAACGTAACTACCATCCTACAGAACCTACCATCCTATCAAAACTGCCATCCTATCAAAACTGCCATCCAACCAATACTACCATCCAACCAAAACTACCATCCTACAAAAAGCAGCATTCTACAAAAAGCAGCATCCTACAAAAAGCAGCATCCTACAAAAAGTAGTATCCTACCAAAACTACCATGCTACTAAAACTACTACCCTGTCAAAACTACCACCCTGTCAAAACTACCACCCTGTCAAAACTACCACCCTGTCAAAACTACCACCCTGTCAAAACTACCACCCTGTCAAAACTACCATCCTGTCAAAACTACCATCCTGTCAAAACTAGCACCCTGTCAAAACTACTACCCTGTCAAAACTACCACCCTGTCAAAACTACCACCCTGTCAAACCTACCACCCTGTCAGAACTACGACCCTGTCAGAACTACCATTCTACCAACACTACCATCCTGTCAAAACTACCATCCTGTCAAAACTACCATCCTGTCAAAACTACCATTCTACCAACCTGCTAAAATACCACTGTACCAAAACTACCATCGTACTAAAACTAACACTGTACAAAAAGCAGCATCCTACAAAAAGTAATATCCTACCAAAACTACCATACAGTACTACCATCCTGTCAAAACTACCGTCCTGTCAAAACTACCATTCTAACACCCTGTCAAAACTACCATCCTGCCAAAATATCATACTATCAAAACTACCATCCTGACAAAATACCATACTATCAAAACTACCATTTTTCTAAAACAGTTGTTGCCCAACCCCTGTTAAATTTACCTGGATCAAAATTATTTCCAAGGATTCTCTTTCCAGGTAATTTAAAATGGAGTTCTGGATACTTCTTCTTTAGCTGAAAAAAATATGACATATTAGATGTAAAATTTTGCCATTGTCTGTTCAGTTCTATACATGTCACAATGTGGGAATAACAAAAAAGTCTGTTTTAGTCTGTGTAAAACGTCAATGGGTTAATGGTATGTAAATAATGGGTGTCATTATATTTCAATCTTCCCACTCAGGGGGTGACCACCCTCCTCCCAAGTATTTGGCACCCCTCAGAAAGTTTTGCTACCCCACCTAGAGAAATTTATACCCCCCTCCACAAACTTAAATACTTGTTGGATTAATTGATAGTAGCATATGATTGAAATTTTGAACTAAATAAGCCTAAAAACAAGGATTTTGAAATAAGACCAAAAATCTCAAAATTTCCTGGGGGCTTTGCCTCCCAGACCTCTGCTGCAACTTGCTCACAGAGCTACTCCCTTGCTCGTCCCCTCCCCCCCTTTGCTCATCTCCCCCCCTGAAATTTTGGCATCCCCCAGAGCAATTCTGAAAATCTGTCTTGCTGATGCATCTCGAAAAACTATTGATTCTGTCCTTACCAGCATTGCAGGCAATTTTATGAAAAAAATAAACATTTATAATGTTACTGTCGTTCCAATTGAAGTGTTGTTCAAATATTGATTCAATACATTACCTCGGGCTGACCAATTCATTTCATCAAGTTCCTCTAGATATTCATACACTTCCTAGTATAATTGTAAACTTCCTGTTGAATAGTTTGAATGCACCAATCACCTTTGTTGTTTGTGCAACTAACCAATCATATATAGAAAGGAAGTGACCAGAAATTATCAAATACTTGGAATTGGCTCTTTCACAGGAAGTGTATGAATATCTCGAGGAACTTGATGAAATGAATTGGTCAGCCCGAGGTAATGTATTGAATCAATATTTGAGCAACACTTCAATTGGAACGACAGTAACCTATCGAGGGTTAGCACTCTCCTTGTAACAAGTGCAATTGTCTGATGTTATATAGAGTAAAATAGTAGAGTAAGGCACATCACGGCACATTGCAACTTAAAGGCCAATTTATTTACACTACACAACGTTTGCCTAAAACAGTTGCATGCAACCTGTTTACAACTTGAGTTGCACTGTGTAAATCAAGCACACAACATGTCTACATTGTCGTAGGTGAGTTGTGTGCTTGATTTACACAGTACAACTCAAGTTGTAAGCAGGTTGTATGCGACAGTTTTAGGCAAAAGTTGTGTAGTGTCAATTCGGCCTTAACAGGTAACTTATTGTATTCAGTGTTAATCCCAATTACTTTTCATTAGCAATACTGTGAAACATAATTACGGACAGATATGACTCTGAGACGTACCTTTTCATAAAGGGTGTGAAATTCATTGTACCGTCGAAAAATGAACCACGTCTTGTTACCAACTTGCACAACAAGTTTGTACACCTAGAATTGAAAGATATCAAGTCTTACTATTCGGCTAATGAGTAACTAACTTCCCATTTTGAAATGCCAACATGAAATGTGCCATGCCATCAGTGGTGAAGCCAGCCCGACAATTTGGTCATGCTATGCAAATATTTCCGTGCTCATACACAATGAAAACAATCAATTTCTAAAGAAATGGATAATGATTTGAAATTTGCATAGCTTGCACATTGTCGGGCTGGCTTCGCCACTGCATGCCATAAAAACAGTTTCATTGGCAGGGTGCAATAACTCACATACTTAAGTACTGGAACTATGGCAACATTACTGTCTGGTACTCCTTTATTTTCACCCAAGTACCATGTATGAAAGACATGTGAAAATTTAAACTACCATATACAGCTACGTCAGGGTTCGTAGTCTCCACGACCAAAAAAATTCAAATTTTGAATGCTGTTCTTAGGGTTTGTAATCCAAGTGAGTATATATATACATCTTAAGACCTGATCAGGAACGACTGCGAAAAATGCAGCACAAGGTCCTCTGGTAGGAATTGAACCTACGGTTTGCGAATCGCAACCTGCGAATTGCAGGGCCGTAGGTTCAATTCCTACGGTTCGCAAATGGCAAACCTGCGAATCGCAGGGCCGTAGGTTCAATTCCTACCAGAGGACCTTGTGCTGCATTTTTCACAGTCATTCCTGGTCAGGTCTTAAGATGTATATATATATATATA